TTATATAGCTTTGCCTACATGGGCCATTGCAGTCATTGCTGTTGGAGGTGGAATACTTTTTGCTGTTATTATAGCAGTTCTCGTTCTTGTTATTTGCTGCTGTTGTTGTGCTGCTGCTGCTGCAAAGAGAAACGAAGAGTAAGTTCTTCTTGCGCTATTCCTGTATTTAATTCCATATTTTTTCTAAATATAGGCACGAAATGACGGAAGGTACAAAACTCTAAAGTCTATCAGTATCGACTGTCTAGAATTTTTAACTAATTAATTCTACAACTAATATTACTTATGTATCCGACGTAAATAAGTCTTATTATTCTGCTGTTAGTGTCCTTCTACATACTATACTGTAGCTTCCCTTTGTGTCTATGTTTCTTTCTATATATATGTTCCTTAGTTGCTTCTTGTTTTAAAGAAAAAGTTATAATACTTTTTATTTAAATATTCTACAATCATTGCTATGATGAACATGTATAAATAAAAAATGATTATGAAGTAGCAAGCTCCTATGCTAGGCTACAGTTTCACTTTTAGTCAGTACAGGAGATCCATTGTTACTACTAGAGGTCAAAGTGGAAAGAGGAATTGACAATTGTTGAGTAGAAAAAGATTGAGGAGGAGCAATTGAGTCAGTAGGAGATACAGCATCAGATTTAGCAGATAATAAATGAACTTTAGATTTAGGCTCTGGATTGATCCTGAAATTATAAAATAAAGTAATGCCAGTAATGATAATATGCTAGTACTTACTGTATCATCCCTTTAACAAGTTTCCCTATGCATATTTAAAAAATAAAAAGAAAAAATTAATAATAACTTACTCTTTTTGATGGTGAAACATAAAGTCAAGAAAATGAGGACTCCTACCAGTGCTATTAAAATGAATCCAGTTACAATAATTGCCCAAGAATAGCCTGGAAAAGTATTAGAGAAAGGCTCATGAGTAACAGTTGGTGTTAAAATAACTGATGTAAAGGGACTAAAGGCAGTAGTATCATATGATAAACTGCTAACAGAATCTACTGATACTGTAGGGAATACAACTGAAGATGATGACACGCTTAGCGATGATGACATGTCATAGTCACAGAGTGAGAAGCCCCTAGTAATAATGTCCCTACTGATCATACTTTCCTTGCAACCTTCAGC